GGAATAACACGCCTCCCAAGCAATGGGCTGGGCGGCGACCAAGCAGTGAGTGCATCTGCAGAAACTTTTCAGCGAGGGCTGCCCTCAGTGTTATGTCCTCAACCAGCAAAATCCCTAATCCATGCTAGCCTCCTCCTCTTAACTAGCCCTCTGCATGGCAGATGTGGGAACTGAATGAATGAGGTGGGAACCTCCCTTTCCCCAGGGCATCCTCATCTCCACACCATCTTCGTGTGACCTCAGGCAGGTCACCATCCTCATTCCCTGCCAACCCCTCCCAGGATCACAAAGGACTTATGAAACACTGAGACCTGCCCATGAATGGGTCTGAGTGTCTCCTGCAGGTACCTCTGCTGGGCAGGAGGGCGGATGTGGGTGACGAACAACAGGGGGAAACTCGGTGAGGAACTCGGGGAGCTGAGCGTGGGTCTTGCCCCGGATGGTCCTGGCACTGTACTCCTGCTTGGGGGAGGTGACCCAGCAGGGCACGATGTTGTGGGCATCAACCTGGGAAGCAAAGCCACGGAGAAGGGTGTGAGAAGCAAACAATCCTGACAACTTGACACACATGCTCTCTGCTCAAGTCACTCCGGTGTGCAAGACACAGGAGACAAGTTTGTCCCACATCTCACCAGCCAGTTTTCTATTCCCGGAGTGCTGGCACCCACCTGTGCAAATGGCACATCCTCTGGCAACCGTTCCCTGACGTCCTCCACCCACTGCTGGGGGAGGCAGAGGGGACTGAAGTCTGTCACCAGCCCACCCACGCCATGCTCCGTCACAAACGTGGGCAGCACATCCTTGGCATAGCCCAGCAGCAAGTGGAAGGAGATGTTCAGCTCTGCACACTCCTGCAGTGACAGGGAAATGGCTGTGGGACAGTTCATGGCTCTGCAACACCACCCAACCACCATCTGCTGAAGGGATGGATGTGCCTCCCCTCTTCCCCATTCGCCCTGTCCCACCCAGCACGGACATCCCCTGGCTGTACCTCTGCTACCTCCTGTAGGCCCCTCAGCATGAACCTGTAGTGGCGGATGGTGGCCTCCAGAAATTTGGGCACCAAGCAGAAGCAGACATGCAGAGGCAGCTCCTGTTTGAGGGCCAGGCGCTGGGCATAGAGGAAAGCCCAGTTATCTGGGGGAAAGTCAACAGGGCAGCGTCAGGAGGGTGCTTCACTGACAGGATGGGGATGGGGTTTCACAGGAAGTTTCTCCCATACACCCCTGTAGAGAGTGGGGCCAGCACCAAAGTTATCAAAGCAGGGGACCAGCGCTTTTACCACCCATGGGAGCCCCTTCCACCAGCTGGTTCGCACCTTGCACTCGCTGATCCCGACACATCCAGTAAAGGATGCACCGAGCATCATCCTTCAGGTCCGAGCCCTGCGAGACAAGGCGAACCCGCTTTTTGTTGTACTTGAACTCCCGGACGGACGGGGCCGCCCTCCGACGGGCTTCCTGTATCGCCTGCTCTCCCTCCGTCCTCCTCCGCGACACGCGCGGCACCTCCGCGGCCTCGGCCTTTCGCTTCGCTTGTCCCCGCCGCATCCTCAGCACGGCCCGGAGCAGCGTGGCTGCGCTGCCGGAGGAGAACAGGCCGCACTGAGCTCCTGCGCTTCCCTGCGAGTCCCGGGCCGCGGTCCGCCCGCAGAGCCCGGGGGATGCTGCTGGTTCCCCGCCCGTCCTGGGCCTCGGGCACCGGGGAATAACGCTGTTACGGTCCCCGGCCCCATCTGCTCCTGGGGTCCATACCTGGGGTCGGGATCCCGATCCCGATCCCGATCCCGATCCCGATCCCGATCCCGATCCCGATCCCGATCCCGACCTGACAGCCACGCGGCCCCGAGTGTTACACAAGCCGTGGGCGGTGCGAAGGGCGTGGCCGTGGGCGTGGCCGTGTCCCGAGGGGCGGGGCCTGTGGCCGGGCCCGCCCCCCGCACACCGGCGCAGGTGCTGCTCCCGTGTCCCCGGCGCGCCCGAGGCGCTGCACCTGCCCCGGGAGGGGTCAGTGCCCGCTGGTGCCTCCCCTCCGTGCGCCCGGGAACAAGGAAGCAGCTCCAACTACCTTCAGCCATCGCTCGGCAGCGTAGTTCCCCGCTGGCACCTTCCCCAGGCCCTGTGTCCTCAGGTCCCTCAGCTTCCAAGGCGTTGGGGTGCTGGCTTTGGCCATGACTCGGGGCACGGGAGGGCTGCCCCTGCTGCTGCTGAGCCTTGCTGTGCTGGATCTCTCACTGGGTAAGGGCTGAGCGGTATGTGGAGCTATCCATGGGGTGGGGGCTGAGTGAGGAGCGTCGTTCTCCAGGGTGGTGGGTGGCCCTGGGGTGACTTCACTCACAGAGGTGAAACACTTCGGGTGCTGTTTGCTCTCCAACATCCCTGTCCTAGTGAGCAAGCAGGGCTGTGCTTTGCAGAACACAAGCAACAAGCTCTGTTTCTTTTGCCTCTGATGTGTCTCCATCTGGGAAGATAAGATCTTAGGCTCAGCTAGACCAGCTAGACCCCCTTGCTTAGCCTTGGCTCTTGCTGGGCTCATTGCCTTTGCTACAACCTTCCCGGTAGCACCAAATGGTCCTGCCCAGATGGCAACCTCACTGGGAGGTACTAGGCCTGGAGACCTTCAAATGCCATCCCAACATTTGTACTTGATGCAAAGTAAGAGCAGTCTTAAGTGGAGCATTGGGAATAAACCTGCAGTTTGTGCCTCCTGAGAACCTTGAACTACGGCTGTAGGTCCCCTCCTGCTGCACCCCTCAACCCACTCCCAGAGCTTTTGTGGGCTGCAACAGGTCTCTCATGGACATGCCCTGAGCTGCAAGCTGGAATTTGTTCCTTTGTGGGGCTAGTTCCACAAAGCATTTCCCCACTGCCATTATTTACACCCACCACTATCAGTTCCTGACTATCTGCAGCACAGAGGGTTTGTTTAAACTGCTGCTGCTGCACTTCCAGACTGTCTCACGGTCACCAGTTCCTGCTTGGCTCTTCCTGTCAGACGGGTTTGTCTGACTTCCTCCAGGGATGGGTGAAGATGGTGGAATGGGTCTTAGGACTGGCACCGAGAGGAGTTTCTGCCCTGAAACCAGCAATGGCCATGGCTTGTTCCTGCTTTGCCAGGCTGGGGATTTATGTGGTCAGCCTGGCTGATTGTCATGTTGCTATTCAGGGAATCCACATGCTTGATCCATGCAGGACAGGGAATCCCCACTTCTGATGATCCATGGCTGATGCAAGACTTGAGCAGTTCATGGTGGTAGTAACATTGCACCATCCCCAGCACAGCCTTTCACTGCCAGCCCTTGTGTGCTGTCTTCCGCCTCTTTGCAGGGACCACTGTCAAAGATATGACAAACCCTGCACCCCTGACTCCCAACCTCCTTGCACCCACAGAGACCATGGGCCCACTGCCCAACACCAGCTCAAGCACTGCAGCCACCTTCCCTTCCTCTCGTCCTGCAACCTCCACCCCAGAGATGCCAACGGATGCCTTCACATCCAGTGCTTCTACAGCTCAGCAGAGCAGCCTGGCAGCCTCCAACATCACCACACCGCAGGCAAGGGGCAGCACAGCTGACAGCACTCCTGTGTCACCTGGGCTGGGATCCAGCACCAGCACCCCCCCAGCAGGGCTGGGATCCAGCACCAGCAGTGCCCCAGCAGGGCAGGAAATCACCACCAGCATCCCCCCAGCAGGGCTGGGATCCAGCACCAGCAGTGCCCCAGCAGGGCTGGGATCCAGCACCACCCCAGGAGGCCTGGGGCTCACCACCACCAGCACGCCAACTCCAGCCTCCATGGCCATGACATCCAGCTGTGACAAGACTACCACCTTCACGTCTGTGGGGACCAGCACAGCCCTGGCTGTCAGCTCAGTTGGAGCTGAAATGACCATGCTGCCTCTCTCCACCTCTACTCTTCTCTCCTCCCCTGGGGTGGGCACCACACTTGGCACCAGCACCCACCAAGAGGCAGCCATGACCACACTGCTTGGCAGCACATCCTCAGGGACCAGCACCACCTCTTCTTCCACCACCCCAGAAGCGACAGACACTTCAGATGGGCCCTTGACGACCCCATCAGACACCACGACCTCCCTTGTTACCACCACAGAGGTCCCTGGGACCACCCCTGGTACTTCCACCCCAACAGAACCAGAGACCCCCAGTGACACTGCAGGTGAGTGCAGCTACAGGGCACCTGGAGGGCAGGATCAGGGTGGCAAATCCCCACAGGATCTCTCATCTTGCTCAGCCAAGCTTCTCCCCCAGGGGCCACCTGGTCTCCAGGCTCTGCAGGCCAGTGGCTGGGTCCCAGGCTGGGGACCTGTGTGACAGTGCTGCCATGTGGCTGTGCCCCCAGCACTGAGCCTGTATGCACACACCCCTTGGAGAATCTATGTAGCCTGTACCCCGAGGAGTGTGACTGTACCCCTGCAGTCCCCTGGCAGTGCTGCTTACTGGGCACCTGTGTCCTGTCAGTGTGGCTGTATCCTGGTGGCTGTTTGGAGGAGCCTTTATCCTGGGACTGCAGATATACCCTGGTCACAGCCCACCCTGTGCACCTCAGCCAGGACAGGGACACTGTACCCTGCCCCAGACCCCTGGCCATGCACATGTTCCTGGCGTCCCTGTACCCCAGCAGAGCTGGTGTATCCTCACAGAGTACCTCACCCTGGCCCCGTGCCTGCTGTGAGAGCACCTCATCAGAGTGCCAGCACCCTGGTGATGGCCTCAGTGTGCCTGTGCCCTGGCAGTGCCCCCGTGCAGCTGCTCACAGCAGGGTGGCTATGCCCTGACAACCCTCCAGCACGCCTGCCTGCCTGTGGAATGCTGGCACCTCCGAGTGCTCTTGTCCCTGACCCTGAGAAGAAGGAAGCAGCCCCAGCTGTCAGCAGCGCACTTGGGCTGTGATACGCTGTGACACGGGGAAGTGATGCCTGCACAGACAGCCCAGGGGACAAACCCTCAGCCTGGGGCACGCCCTTCCTGAGCGCTGCCTGTTCTCCTGGCCGGTTCCTCGCGCTCAGACAGAGCTGGCTGTTGTCTCCTGAGGGCGTTGGTGCTGGGAGCCACCACCAAACATCACCCCTGTGGTGAAGTGCGGGGTTCCGGGCAGCCTGGAGCATTCCTGGGCTTTTTTCTGTTGTCACCCTCCCCACTGCAGGCAGAGGACGGCCACAGGAGCCAGGTCTGTAGTAGTGGTGGCCTTGGTGGCCTGTCCTGCCTGCTTTTTGTGGCTGTTCTGGGTCCAGCTGTGTGGTTGATGTTTGCTGGGCATTGCACCAGTCCCTGGGAGTGTCCGTGTCAGGTGGAACCCACTGCCTTGCTGCCAGCACCTGGAGGGTAAAAGGACCCACCTGGATGCTCCTTCTCTGCTGGGTGAAGGAGACCTGTAAACCCCAGTGCTGGGGCTGTGGGGAGCGGTGCCCGTGGGGGTTTGTCAGCTCCTGCTCACCTGGACATGGCTGGGCAGAGAGGAGGGCTGGCCCTGCCCCTGCTCTGGCCCCTGCTGCTGCTGCTGCTGCTGAGCCTCACCTGCCTCGCCGTGCTGCACCTGGCTCTGGGTAAGGGCTGAGTGGGCTCAGTGCTCTCTGCAGGGTGGGTGGTGAGCGGGCAGCGTCATTCCCCAGGGTGGAGGGGTGGCACCTGCGGGGTGCAGTGCTGCGGGGCTGTGTCCTGCTTCTTAAATGGGAAACAGAGGTGAGCTTGCTGCTTCTCCTTTTGTGAGGATGAGACCCTTCTGTGCAGATGCTCACCTGGCAAGGGCTAGGGTCAGACCTTTGCCCTTCTCTGTATTTTTGTTTAGCTAGCTGCTGTGTGCAGAGAGAGCATGGCTGCCTGGGGTTTTGGAAGTTTCTGCTTGCTTGGCTGAATGCAGATAGCAGCTTGTGGTTTGGTTTCCCATTCTCATGCAAGCAGAGCCCCAGACTCACTGGGTTTGTGCTGGGATCACTGGGGAATCCAGTCTGGTATCCCAAAGCCACCACCTCACAGACACCCCTTGACAAAGGTCCAGGTAGCCAGGCTGTCCTGCCTATCCTTTAGAGAGGGTTCCAGATCCCTGGGCTTTTCTGGGGACAGCACACTGGTACAATCCATAGTGGAAGAGAGGACAGCCCTCCTGTGCCCCACCCCCTCCCTCCCAGAGCTTTTGTGGGTCACAGCACGTCTGCTCATCCTGAGCTGCAAGCTGGGATTTGTTCCTTTGTGGGGCTGCTTCCCCCGCTGCCATTATTTACACCCACCACTATCAGTTCCTGACTATCTGCAGCACAGAGGGTTTGTTTAAACTGCTGCTGCTGCACTTCCAGACTGTCTCACGGTCACCAGTTCCTGCTTGGCTCTTCCTGTCAGACGGGTTTGTCTGACTTCCTCCAGGGATGGGTGAAGATGGTGGAATGGGTCTTAGGACTGGCACCGAGAGGAGTTTCTGCCCTGAAACCAGCAATGGCCATGGCTTGTTCCTGCTTTGCCAGGCTGGGGATTTATGTGGTCAGCCTGGCTGATACCCATTGAAGACATCTGTGTGTGTGGTCCATGCAGGACAGTGAACTCCCCCTCCCAGTGCTCCATGGCTGGTGCAGCTCTGAGTCCCTTGGGGACTCACTGTGGTGGTGATGCTGCACCATGCCCAGCACAGCCATGGACTCAGCCCTTCACCACCAACCCTTGTGCATCTCATTGTCCCAACTCTTTGCAGAGACCACTGCCATGGGGGTGACAGCAACTGTGTCCCCAGCTCGCCCTACCTCCTCAACACCCGTGGAGAGCTCAACACTGCTGCCTACCACTGACTCCACCACCACAGCCACCCTCCTTTCCTCCAGCCCTGAAACAGAGGCCTCCACCCCAGAGGAGTCCAGCACATCCATAGAGACTGGCAAGACATCACCTCCCACTGTGCTTCCTCCCACCACAACTACAGAAGATTCAGCTGAATCTACAGAAGAGACCTTGGCAACCCTGGCAGACACCACAGCCAGCCCTGTAATCAGCACATCAGACCCCATGAGCGCTCCCTCTTCAAGCCACCCAGCCAGAACCACTCCTGACATCTTCCCCTCAACTGGGGAGTCGACTCCAGGTACCCTGACAGTATCTGGGACCCCCAGTGCAGCTGGGTGGGTTTCTGAAGGCAGGGACGTGGTCAGGGTGACAAATCCCCACAGGAATTTCATGTACTTGGGTGGCTTCACACAGGTGGCTTCACCTAGGCCTGTCCCCAGCTGCAGGAGCCTCCTGTACCCCTGCAGACAGCACTAACCTAACATTGCTTTGCCCAGGCACTGAGCCCTCCTCCCCTGCCACCAGCTCAGCCCAGACCTCAGAGGCTACTACCCTCAGCACGCCTACAGACCTGCCAACGCTGCCGCCAGTCTGCCCCTCTGGCTCTTCCAACACCAGTAAGTGCAGTGCCCGTGGCCATCAGCACCCCCAGCATCGGTGCTTGGGGCCAGTGCAGGGGGTCCTGGAGCCCCACTCCTCTTGCTGTGCTCTCAGTGTGGAGGTGCTGATGCTTTGGGGTTTGCTGTACAGTGAGAGGCTTCTTCTGGCAGTGTAGTGTGTCCATGACCAATTAACCCGGGAGGACGTTCCATGTCTGTGCCAGCAACCCTGGGGAGACACCCCCAGGTCCTCTGGCACAGCCCAGGGTTCAAGGGCAATAACCTGAGTCCTGTTTTTAATCCCCAGGTGCGTCTCACCTCTTTCTGTCGCTGCAGCTAAGCACCCCTCTGGACCTGGGGAACACCACAGTGCAGGAGCTGGTGTTGGCCAAGGTGAGGTGTGCAGGAGGAGATTCTGCATCTGCCAGCTGTGGTTCACTCAGCTGGGGAGGGGAATGGCTGCATCTTGCATTGAATGTCATCCAGAGCCCTTTCAGATGGAGGGGAGACCCTCCTCTGGCTGCCATAGTCCAGGACCAGGCCCTTCCTGTGGGGACAGAGGGTAGGAAGATCTCTGGCACAGTTTGATGGCTGTTCTTTCCCCCCAGCTCCGTGAGGACCTGCAGACAGCGTTCCCGTGTGCTGGCCTGTCACTGGCATGGCGAGGGAAGAGGAGGACTTGACTGGTGCTCCTCACCTGGCCTGCTCCCGCCTGGACTGCTCCCAGCTCCTCACTCCATGGTGCTGCAGGCCCCTGGGGAATCCCATACAGCTCCTCTTGAACCTGGGCTTCCTGTCCTTCACTTTGTACCCCCAGTCCCCTCCTGACCATTCCACAGCCTATCTGAAGAGCCTGAGCCCTCCCCACCACCCTGCTCCAGACCTGGTTCCCCCTCCAGCTCTGCTGGGGAGCAGGGAGAAGGGGACCCCACGGGACTGGTCTTTACATCTGGGACTGAGCTGGCTCATCCATCAAAGCCACCCTGGGGACAGGGGAATGAGAAGAAGGAGACTGAAGCCCCCAGTACTGCTGTGCCCAAGGCTCACCTGTGGTATTGCTGACAGAGGAGAGCACCCATGCCGGGCAGTAAATAGAAATTCCATGTTTTCTCTGTTGAAATGATGACTTCTTTATTTTCCAAGTTGTCTTTCCCAGTTTCCAGCTTTGCCATCTGTTGGAGGTACCGGTGAGGAAAACTTGAGTCCCCAGAGCTTTGCCTGGAGAGACAGGCTCAGTGCTGTCTCCTCCCACCAGAGGCTGCTGCAGACATTCCCAAGGCACCCCGGCACACTGGTGGTCTGTGCTTTGGAGCTCTCTGCCCCATAACGCCCCACAGCTGCAGGGGCAGCATTGTGGGGCTGTGGAAATCCCGTGGGCTGTGCTCCTTCCCTGTTTTTTCCAGTCCCCAACTAAGGAGACGGCTGCAACATCTGTCCCCCTGCAGCAAAGTAATTTATTAACTGATTAATTAGCCAGATAAAATCCAACTGAAGCAATTATTAGCCTTAGCAAGCCACCTCGCCTGGAGATTGAAAACTGAAATAATTAGCAAAATGGCCTTGTTGCGTGTCAGGGGTTGTTTTTGGCTGATCCCTGCTTCTCATTGGCAGCCCTCGCTGCCCCGGCACAGGGAGGGCTGGGAGGGGGCGTGTGGGGCTGTGGGATTCCTAACCTGAGGACTTCTCTCAGGCTGCCTGGACTGTCAGCTGGCTGGGAAAGAGCCAGCAGCTGGACAGGATGGGGAGAGACACCGTGGGATCACCCAGCTGCCTGCCAGTTCACAGGGCCTGGGAGAGGCTGGGCTGGGGCGGGAGGCTGTGCCCAGGCAGCTTGTCAGGATGCTCCCCTTGCATTCCAGAGTGGCCCCTTTGCTCTTTAGGATGCTGCCTGGCTTTTGTGGGCTTGTTGGACCCGTTGAGACTGAGAGAGATCCCTTGGCAGCTGGGCAAGGAGCTGGGGAGCAGGGCAAAGCCTGTTGGAAGGAGTCCCTGTGCTGGCTGCCTGGTGGGGTGCTGGGAAAGAAATCCTTGTGGTCTGCCTACGCCTTGGAGCTGGGCCAAGAGTCCTCCCACGTCGCGTCCCACTGGGCTGTTTTCTCCGGCTGTTGAATCCATAACTTCAGACCCCAGGACATGGCCAGGTGCCAAGGCCGGGGTAATGGAGCCAAACTGCGTCACAAAGGGAGGAAAAGGTCCTGAAGTGCTGGGATGAAAAGGTGACCAGGGTACTCACTGTTCCCTGCTGGCACAGCCCCCTTCCACCGCTATCGTGGCTGGGGGGCCCTGGGGAAGGAGATGCTCTGGTCCCCTCTGCCACCGGCCTGGGAGGGAGAAGAGTGGCACAGAGGGAGGATGTGGCTCCCTTGGAGCGGTGTCCCTGGCCAGGCAGTGGTGGCACAGAGCTCTGACAAGCCCCCAGCACTGCGCATACTCTCTGTGCCTGCTGTCCTCGAAGTGCCACCTTCATCCCATGGCTGCTGGCCTGCCACTGACCGCTGCCCAGAGGGGCTTGGGAGGCTGCATCCAAGTCCTGCTGCTTTCCCAGTCCACAACAGAGTTCTCAGCCTCTTTGCTGTAATACACTCCAATCTTTCAGCATTATCCAAAGGAAGAAATCTTGTGCCCAATGTGACTGTCACTTCCGGAGGACCTGGCAGCATCATGGGGCATCTCTCAAGAGCCTTGTGACTCAGGTGTCCCTTCCAGTGTCCCCATTCCCTTCACCCCTGCTGATGGCTATAGCCCAGCTCCCACTCTTGGCAGGAGTGTGTTGCAACACACCCAGCATGCCAAGTCATCCAGAACCTGTGGGGTTGATGGATAACCTGGTTTCCCCCATTGCCACCCCTGAGCCCTCTCCCAGTGCCCTTGCCAGGAGGCTGGAGGGGAGCCAGTAGGAGATGCTGTGTTCTCCACAGGACTGGAACAACCAGCCCATTAATTCCAGGAAAGCTGATAAGGCACTGTGCTGGGCCATGCTCTGCCATGCTGGACGGTGCAGAGCCCCTGGCTGCTGGGATTCATGGAATTGCCCCCTGGCTACAGGCTCCTGAAGGGCTCCAGTGCCCACATGATGCTTTGGTCTTTGGTAACAGCAGATTAATGACTTTTACAGGAACCAGTGCTTTTCCAGGACCTTGCTTTCAGACACAGCAAAAGATCAATAAGAAGCCCCTTCCCAGAGTGGTAGCAGGGTACTGTCCTCAAGATGGGACATCCCTTGGTGGCTCTGGGCTTTCTTGGAAGGGTGTGCCAATGCCTGAGCAGAGGCATGAGTTTTGTTTGTCAGCCCTAGGACTCTGATGGGAGATGGGCATTTCTGGGGCACAGCACGGGCAGCAGTTTCAGGCACAAAGGTCTCCAGACAGTGCTGGCCCCTGTGGAGCACAGACAGGAGCTTGCAGGCAGGCTGGGGCCAGCCCCTTGCTCCAGATGAGTTGTTTTCCTCTATGCTGAGCAGCATGTTTGCAACAATCCCTGTGGTTCCCACCACATTTTGCACCTCAAACACCATCAGGAGCAACACTCCCCAGCGTCAGCATGTATTCCCTGTTGGGGTTGCTTTCCAAAGTGATACAGCATCGTCAGCACGGGCAGGAACCACTCTCCCACGGCAGGTTTGCATCTCTCAAATCCTCCATCAGCCCTGGTGTGGTCATTGCTCAGGTGGTCGCTGATGGGTCAGCCACCCCATGACCTGCAGTGCTGGTTGCAAGACCCCCAGCGCACTGTCCCCCCAGCTTTACACGTTTTGGTGGGCGGGTGTTTAGTTCCAGGTGAGCGGTGCTCCCCCGGTTTACGGTCTGTGCCGGTTCCCCCGGCCGGGGGTGCTGCGTGGGTTTTACAGGACGGGGTTTCTCAGCCGTGACTTGGCCTCCCCCGGCGTTTCCCCGTCCCCAGGGCCCGCTGCTGGCTCGGGGTGTCACTTGACGTGCTGCCTGCCCGGCTCCAGCGGGACACCGTGTACTGCCTAACACCCCTCATAACACTTTGCAGGAGTTGCCTGGGGGCATTTCTGGTTAAGAAGTGTTTAATTGACTACAAAACCATGTAGTGGTGGGAGTTTGCATAATGCTGTTCACAGGGGAGCTGGCAGCATTTTTCAAGGGGGTGTGTAGGAATTGCTGCTCCAGGAGGAGGAGGGGGGTGAGACATAGGGGTGAAGTGATTCAGGGGATCCCCACAGCAGGGAAGGGGGTCTGGGTCTGTTCCTTTTCCTGCTCCATCCTCTGGGGATGCTGGTCCAACCTGCAGAGAAGCTTCCCTGGACCATTTACTCCCTCCCAGCACCCCAGCACTGCTGTGCCCAGACTGAGGTGCAGGTTTCCAACCCCACTGGGGTGTGCTGGGGCTCTGAAGAGGGATCCCCAGTGCTCCTCGTTACAGCTGAGCACTGTGGAGCTCAACTGACACCCCAGGGCCTCACCCAGACATGCTTCTCCCTGCTTTATAACCTGCCTCTGCTCTGGGGCACCCAAGTGGAGACCTGTGTTCTGCCTTGTTCTGGGCTGAGACATGGCTCAGCTGGTGATTTTAGTGTCCATGGTGTCCTCACAGGCATGGTGACACCAGCTGGCATTGCTCTGTCACCACCACACACTGCTCTGTGGCCCCATACCCTGCATGTGGAGTGGGGTCTGTGGGGTGACTGCCATGGGGAACAGGTTGTGTGGGATCAGTGGGGTGACTGCCATGCCACTGTTGGCAGTGCCACACACAGCTCTGGGCTCAGCTTCACCTTCTGGTTCTGCAGCCCAGGGAGCTGCACCAGGCTGAGCCCAGGAGAGAGCCTGGGGAGATGTGGGTCCCTGCAAGGTGGGCTTTAGGTACACCCAGCCCATGCCCCAGCTGGACAGGGCACCCAGCCCTTGGGAGGGGGAGGGCTCAGCCGGAAGGGAAAGGTGACAGGGACAGTGGAGGGAAGGGACCGGGGGCGGGAGAGGACGTCGGCAACCTGCCTCCTTCTGCCATCCCTATAAATAGGAGGGAGCAGGAGCAGGAGCACCTGTGGGACTCCAGCTCTGCAGGAGAGGCAGGCAGGGAGGGACGGAGGGAGCTGCTCCTTGCTGCTCTCTCCTCCCTTTGAGCTTCCTAGCGCTCTGCCTGTGTGGAGGCCTGAGGCATGGGGACCAGGGGATGGACGCTCTCCACCTTGCTGGGATGCTGCGCGTGGATTCTGCACGGTATGTCCTATATTTTTCTGCTGGCCCATGTGCTACCCGAGCCCTGGCAGGGTGCAGCAGGTACACTGCGAGATGCTTTTCACTCTTGGCTGCACTGGAAACTCCTCTTTCGACCAGTCCTTGCAAGGCATTGCAGCCAAAGATCTGGAAAAGCATTTTACAGGGCAGGCATCACCCCGAGGGGCTGCTTGCAGGCGTGGAGCCGTGGGAGAGGTGAGAGCCCAGCCTGGAAGCCTGCAGGCAGCTCTGTACCCCTCCAGCAAAGGAGCCAAGGGAAGCCAGCTGGCAGAGCAGGACCCAGGGATGCTCCCATCCCTCCCACATCCCAGGGAAGAGCAAATGCTGGTGCTCCATGCTGCTCTTACACAAACTTCCCATGAATGGGTGTGTGGGGTAGATGGTGTTTCCTGCTCCACATTGAAGAATTAAGATAAAACAGTGATTTACTGGGGCGAGTGGGCCAAACTAAACTGAGGTGACTTGACTGATGTACTTTTTTTTCCCTGAGATGGGGATGGAAGCTGCTGAGCTCCTTTGGCTGAGGGGGCTGGTACAAAGAGCCTTTTCCAGCCAGGGAAGATGACACTGAAGCAGCCTGCCAGGAAAGGGAATGTGGGTCTAGCAGAGGATGGACCCCTCGAGGACTGGACTGCCATGGGAGCTAATATTCATTAATGACCCTGCACAAGCTATCTGGGAGCTAACGAGCTGAGCTGGCGGTGAGGTTGGAGGCACCTCTGCTGCAGGGAGATCTGGTTGTCTGTCAGGGGGAACCTGATGAACTGGAGCACCAGGATTGGGAACAGGCTGGGGCTGTCAGGCTGTGGCAAAGCCCTGCTGGATCTTGCCATCGGGGTGCCCTTCTTCTCCCCTAATTGAAGCTCCTTAAAGCCAAGCGTCAGCAGATCCACCCGGCTCCTCACGGAGCCAACGGCGGCAG